AGAGATTTATATACGAGAACATTTGAACATTGAGAAAACATCCCAACCCAGTCCAGTCCAAAACCGTAAGTCTGATATTAGCCCATATGTCCAATACCAATCTATAAAGTCTTCTTCAGACTCACGAAACACGCAATGATGCCGAGTGCAGGACAATCACAGGCCAGTGGGTAGAACGTCTTTGGGTCCAGTGGCGTTGTAAGCATCATAGCACTGGCAGGAGTCTCTCTGTGGCTTCTCCAGCTTCAGAGGTCTGGTTTTAGCCATGCGGTTTGTCTGGCTCAGGGCACTAGGGTAGTTCCATGTGTCTCGTCAGCTGCAATGTCTCCCAGGGAGTCAGCATTGTCAGTAGAGAGTCTCCAAGGGAGTGAACTGAGAGAGAGTGTCTCCTGCCTCCAAGAGGAATACTGGATTTCCTATAATTCTTAGGAGAAGGCCATGCCCCCACAGAGGTCTCATTGACTGTCTCCAGATTGACAGGCTAGACTCCACCCCTTCACTCTTAATCCTCAAATTGACACCAGATTAGGTGACTACCACACTTACTTACTAACTTTGCCTCCAAGGAGCACTCTGGCCTTACTTCTACTACAGATGGGTTTGTCCTTTGAGCAGTCCATGGTACTTTCAACATTCCTCTCCAGCACCACAACTCAAACGCATCGGTTCTTCTTCGGTCTTCCTTATTCAGTGTCCAACTTTCACGTGCGTAGGATGCAGCGGAGAATACCTTGACTTGGGTCAGGCTCTCCTTAGTCCTCCAAGGGACACCTTTGCTCTTCAGTGTTCTGAAGCGGTCTCCTGCAGCAGATGTACCTCGTGCAATGTATCGCTCCTTGACCGCTGCTCCCATGAGCATTGATTGTGGATCCAAGTAAGACAAAATCCTTGACAGCTTCAGCCTTCCTCCATCGATCACGATGTTACCTATTGGTCCATTTGTGAGGATATGCTGAGCATCTTCGCCCCTTTTGGCTTTCTAGCTCTAGGCCCATAGAATTCGTGCCACCAGGTAGAGGTATCTTAAAGAACCTTTCCTCACAGGAAAACTGCCTGTGGCCTATTTTACTTTGAAGCCAAGCCTGAGCCCTTCTTTTAGGGGGCTCCCAGAAAACTCTTTCGTTCCATCACTCAGCAATGATCCATGATGCACTGCCGTGGGCTGGATGCTCTGGTCTGATGACAGTATAAGGAATAAAACAGTCAGTCCTTCTCCATGCAGCTGTGGTCCAGCAGGAGGACAGACAGACAGCAAGAACAGATGGGAGTCAATAAATAATGCGGGAGTTCCAGGGGGCCGTAACAAGGAGCTCTGCATTAAGTGTGGGATGATAACTACAAGGCCCCCACTTTGAGCTCACCAGCTGCTCTGTGGGAGGAAGATGAGGCTGGCTACTCCCATAAAGATTATAGCCGCAGAGCCACACGCGGAGGCGCTGAGAGTCAGAGTGGACTTAACAGCTGTGGGTTCGTTCGGTTGTGGTGTGTCCAGATAAGCAGGACGGTACAAACAGTGATTAGAAGCATTCAGAGGAGCCTCAGAAGAAAGGCCTGGCGATCTCCTAAAAAGCCGGCAACTGTGAACCCCATGGAGCCCAGTTCGGCGCTGACACACGGGGTTGCCGTGAGCCAGAGTTGATGCCGTGGGAACTGCTTTTTAGAGAGTGAGGACTCAGGGGAAACCAAGCAGGACCCGGGGCTGGAGAGAAAAAGGCCATTGTAGGAACAGTGGCCATGGTGGGAGGGGGCCTGAGCAGAAGCTGGAGCTCAGTGCGGGAGCAGACCGCATAGCTGGGAGGGGAAGGGTGGCCCAGGCAGGAGGAACGGTGCAGTAGAGGGGCCCTGGGGCCCTAGGGAGCTGCAAGGAAACTGTGAGGTGGGACTAATGGGAAGGGAGGGAAACCAGCGTAGATCACCCTTGCCTCCAAGAACCAGATGTTTTCCCCCTGAGGGCACTCTAGCCCTGTTGAGAATGCAGTTTTACGGAGCCCTGGTGGCACAAGGGTTAAGTACACGAGTGCACACAAGCTGAGACGAGGCAGTTGTATGGACTTCATAGACACTGGTTGCCTGCACGGAAGACAATTCAAGACCACAACCACTCTTAGTGCTGAGGTCTGCTTTCCACTTGGAGATAGGAGCTGCAACTCAGGCTTCCCGAGGCCACTGAACTGCTTGCTCTCGGCTGCCTCTAGCCTGCCCGCCCCTGCCTCCCACTCCGGGACTGGCATTTGGGTCCTTGGCTCAGGCCAAGGACATCATTCTCAAACACCCACCCCCTCTCTCTCTATCTCACACACACTACCGCCACTTCTGCTACCTTCTCTGCTGCCGTCCTGGCCCGGCCCCCCTGCCAGCCCCTGGCCTGTTGCAATAGCCATTTCCATCCACCTTGTCCTCCTGGACCTGCAGTGTAGCAGGTGGCGTGGGGGAGGGGTTAACAGAGGGTGAGGGTGGGACACTGGGGAGGCAGCATCAGCAGTGAGAAGGCAAGGGAGACACACATGGACTCCTGGTGGGATCTGACATCCTGTCACACCTGACCCTTCCTGCCCCACGGACCTCACTGCCCCCCAGGACAAGCTCCCGTCAGGTACCTGGCCCCATCTCCTCTCATCCGGCCTTGTGCAATGCCCTTCCTCACTCATAGCAGATAGTGGGCGCTGTTCATTCGGCAGGTGTTGCTGAGGGTTGGGGGTGGGGGTGGGCACGAGGGGCGGGGTAGAGGGCTAGCTGAGGCAGCACAGCCCCCAAGCCCCCTTCACGTTGACTCAGACTGGAGCTCCAGCAGGGACTCCTTTGGGCAGGCATCCACACCCTGGCCGTGAGGCCCTTTTCTCTCTCCAAAGGCTTCCTGATCCTCCGATGACCCCTTCCTGCCGGTGCTCTGGCCCCGGGCATGGAAGCTTGGTGAGGGCAGGATCCTGTGTGTGCCCTGTTCGTTCCACCCTTCACCCCTGCCCAGCAGGAGGGGTTGTGTATCCGGCAGGCTGATTCTGGCTGGGAAAGACGAGAGTAGAGCTGCCTCTGAGCAGATACCAGAATCCAGATCTGCTCTGCTGGAATTCGACGGCCAGCCTTGCTGTTCTCAGCCAAGTGCTTTCCCACTGCACCACCAGGCGTTCTTCTTCCACCACGGGCCTGGGACTTGAGCAACGGTGGTTGGGAAACAAGGCGGTGGGAGTGTGACCTGTTGGATCCGGGCAGCCTCTCCAAGGAGGAGCGCAGTCTGTCTGTGAAGGACAAGTTCCCGCTCCCTCTTGATGATATCCAGGTGGTGGGGAAGGCGGGGTGAGAGTCTGTGGTCCTCAGACTGGGCTATAAGTTGTCCAGCCAAGCTGCTCCCCCAGAGGCCCTTGAACGGATCTCTTAGCTCGATGGCCTTGGGGCCCTGGGGAGGAGACACCAGGCCCTCTCCAGAGCTAGACACAGAGAGGCCTCCCCCTCGCTGCCCTGGCATTTCAAGGTCATGACCAGAGCCAGATGTGGACCGAGAGATGTTGCTTCCAGGCCCTGACAAGCTGTGATGATCCTTGCTCTCCCTCCCAAGAGCCACATTGCCATAGAAACCAAGCCTGTGTGCAGGCAGGCCGGCTGCCCTGGGATTGGGGCCACAGGCTCTGGAGTCCCTGCAGGGGCTCGCGGGGCTCAACCACCACAGTGCCTGGCTCTGAGTGAGCATCCGTGTCTGCTTGGGAGGCACATGGCTACAGCTCTGCCCAGCAAGTCTGCATACAGGACAGGGGCAGGAAGGCAGCAGGCAGGACAGGCGGCATGGAGGCATGGAGGCATTGAACCCAGCACATGGTGGGACCTTTACTGGCCGGAGCGCCTGGCTGGTACCCGGCTGCTTATTGAAAGGTTGAAGGATTGGGCCTACCAGAAGCACCTTGGAAGCGAGGCTGGCCATCTCCTTCCAAAAGCTCCCCCAGCAAGAGCCTCCTGGAGCACAGGTTCAGACCCACAGGGGTGGCCATGAACTGGAGTCCCTCCGTGGCCTTTGGCGTGACTTCTTTTTCCATGGACCTGAAGGACTATCGTAGTCCTTCCCTGAAGACTGTTGTCACCCTCCCCATGCTGTGTGCTTGCGGGAGCTACCTCACCAGGTGGCATCTGATCCAGGGAGTCAGGAGCAGTGTCTGCTGGGATCTGGGTGAAAGGTTGGTCAGAGAAGCCACACTGAAGGCCGGGAAGGTTCTGGAGAGCAGCTCTCAGAGCGGTTGACAATCCTCTGGGGAGCGTACAATGTTAAGCAGTAATCAGAGGCCTTTAAACCTCCCATCCCACTCCAGTCTCTTGCCGAAGAAGGCTGGCTAGACTGTGAACACCAAGGCCGGCGGTTTCCCTGCCATGCGCCTGGCAGGGTAGGGTGTCTGTGCCGGGTGTTGGCCAGCACGGGAAGCAGGTGGACCTGCTGCTGCAGGTGAGCCCTTGCTGCCAACCCAGGGACACTCCTCCAAACACAACCCAGGGAGGCCTGGGGCATACGGTCCTTATTGGCAGTCAGCTCAACTAGAGAGAGGGCAGTTGATCTTGCCTTCTGAGCAGGAGCCCCAGGTTCAACTCCTGGCCACCGTGGACCTCGTGTGTGTCCGTGGAGGCTTGCACCTTACTATCGTGTTAAACTGGTTTCAGCCCAGTTTCCAACTCAGCGGACTAGGCAGAGAGGCCCAACAATTTGCTTTCAAGAGTTAGCCAGCGAAAACACTACGGATTACAACAGGCTGACCCACCACCAACCAAGAGGGGGTGCAGGGCCAGGCAGGTTTGTGTTTTACTGTCCCTGGGTCACACTGAGTTGAGGAGTGAATGACACATCAGGAAGATTGGGACACACCTCTAGTTTGCCAGGCTCTGCCAGAGTCTTTTCCTGCTGCCCAGACTGGCAGTAGCCTTAGCTCTGTGACAGCCAAGAAGAACTAGAAATGGGATTCACCCAGGCCCACCTGTGGGCTAATGAGGGAGACTGGCAAGCTCTGCTGTCACCCTTGTCATCCCAGAGAACGCCACAGCCAGCGTGAGCGAGGCGGAGAGGAAGGCCCAAGTATACTACCGTGCGTGCATGAATGAAACCAGGATCGAGGAGCTCAAGGCCAAGCCCCTGATGGAGCTGATCGAGAAGGTGAGTCCCTGGACACCTCCTGCCCAGCCATCTGCCTGCCCTCTGGCTCCCACCCCAGCTGTCAGGTACCACGGGGCCTGGCCAACTCACCCCAGCTGGACCAGGGCCGGGAAGCCTGTCTGCTAGCAGAGAGAGAGAGAGAGAG